TTGTGTGCCAGACCTGGCACTTAGCTCTTTACATGGGTTATCTCATGTGATCATTGTAAGAACCCTAAGGAGGTTATTCTTCCTATCCTCCATTTTACAGGTAAGAAAACTGAGGCTCAAAGAGGTTAAATCAGTTGTTCCAGGCACATAGCTTGGGCACCTAGCTTGTAAGGCGAGCCCAGTGCCACCCACACCAGCTCTGGTTCTTTGCCTCCAGCCCTGGCTCCTTTCTCCGACCATCTTCCCCCTCTGCCCCCGGCAGGTGGGGAGAAAAGGAAGAAAGAGAGGCCCATGGCATGTGTTTCGGCTTCCCTTTCCCTCTCTGCTGGTGCCCACTGGCCCTCACACCCATTTCTTGTTGCAGGAAAGTGAACAAGTGCTACCGGGGCCGCTCCTGCCCCATCATCGTGCACTGCAGGTGGGTGGAGAGGAGGTCCCTCTCTCTGGTCCAACTCCCTGTGTGCGTCTCCTGTGCACATTGCCTGCCTGTCCCCTTGGTGCTAGCAAACCAGGCATGGGCCAAATCCAGCACACCACCTGTTTTTAGTGGCCAATACCTAAGAATGGCATTCACATTTTTAAATGGGTGAAGAAAAAAGAAGAAAAGTATGTGACACAAACTGTATGTGGCCCACAAAGTTGAAAAATATTGACCATTGGCCCCTATACACAAAAAGTTTGCTGAAGGCTAGAGAGGCCCATCCAGTTCCCTCCTGTTGCCTACGCTTCAGGGCTGAGCCATGGCTCTCCTCTTTGGTTGTCCTATTGCCCAAGTGACACCCACAAGTCACAGACTCCCCTCTCAAGGCCCAAGTCCCAGCGTGCAGGTGCTATGAGCTTTCCTTCATCCTCAGCTCACTCACTCCTTCTCCAAGCCAACCCAAAGGGGTCACCCAGTGTCCTCCCCTCCCCCAGGCCTTCAGGCCTCCTCCATCCCTCCTCCTTTCTGCTGCATTGCAAGCTAAACCTGTCACTAACTCCTGTTTCAGTGATGGTGCGGGGAGGACCGGCACCTACATCCTCATCGACATGGTCCTGAACCGCATGGCAAAAGGTAGGGAGCTTCCCCATGGCGCCCGCAGCCCCCAGGCCCTTTTTAGAGGCTCCCCAGCACACAGGGTTGGGAGCTCAGAAGGAGCAGGTTGTCAACCTCTAGGCTCTGCCCAGCCCTCCAAAGCTCTTCGCCTCTAGGAGGCCCCAGGTTTTCTGGGTCCTGTCCTCCTCTGGACACCCCCTGAGCAGTCCCATCCCCACCCCCATCTCCAGGAGTGAAGGAGATTGACATCGCTGCCACCCTGGAGCATGTCCGTGACCAGCGGCCTGGCCTTGTCCGCTCTAAGGTGACCTTGCCTTCCTGCCCCAACCCCAGCTGCCACCCTTCCCTAGCACCCACTTCCTGGCCACCCCAGGGAAAGCAGCAGCTGCCAACCTCTCCCACCTGCCTCTGTCCCTCCTCCAGGAGGACTCCCCTCCTCCCAGGGGACCTGCCCAGGGCCCCACACCCCCACCGAAAACTCCCCACTTTGAGGGCAGAGCAGAGGTCAGGCCTCTCCGTGACCATCCTGCCACTGCCCTTCCCCAGGACCAGTTTGAATTTGCCCTGACAGCCGTGGCGGAGGAGGTGAATGCCATCCTCAAGGCCCTGCCCCAGTGAGACCCTGGGGCCCCTTGGCAGGCAGCCCAGCCTCTGTCCCTCTTTGCCTGTGTGTGCATCTCTGTGTACCCACTCCTCACTGCCCCACCGGCCACCTCTTGGGCATGCTCAGCCCTTCTAGAAGAGTCAGGAAGGGGAAGCCAGAAGGGGCACGCCTGCCCAGCCTCACGCATGCCAGAGCCCGGGGCATCCCAGAGCCTGGGGCATCCCACGGGGGTGCTGCAGCCAGGAGAAGAAAGGACGTGGGCAGCAATTCTACCCAGAGCCTTCTCCTGCCTACATTCCCTGGCCTGGCTCTCCTGTGGCTCTCCTGTGTTTCCGGGAGCTCCCCCAACATCTATGTGTTCCCCTCTATGCTCCAATGTGGAAGAACAGGGTGGAGGGTCGCCACACCTGGCTCCCCTTGCTTCTCAGCCCCAGGCCTGCCTCCTTGACTCACACTTGGGCGCTCCGCCCTCCCTGGCCTCATGCCCAGCCTCCTCTCACCACCCTCCCACCATGTGCTGCTCAACCTCTCTCCTTCTGGCGCAAGAGAACATTTCTAGAAAAATCTACTTTTGTACCAGTGTGAATAAAGTTAGTGTGTTGTCTGTGCAGCTGCAACCCAGACTCCTACACATTTCTGTCCGCTGGGCATCTGGACTCCAAACCCAGCCTAACCCCGGAACCGGTCCCTGCTGATCTCTCAGAAGGTGCAGAGAGCACAGCGGGAGAACACCAGCTGCCAGTAAGGCCCTCCTAGGCGGGAACGCTAGGTTAGAAAGAGGCTTCCTACGTGGCCAGCAGTCTCCAAGGTGCTTTACATGATGAGTCTCATTTTACAGATGGAAAGACTGAGGCACAGAACTTGCTTGTGGTAACACATAACACAACTTGTAAGATTGTAAGGTGGCTGGGCGCAATGTCGCACACCTGTAATCCCAGCACTTTGGGAGGCTGAGGCAGGCAGATCACCTGATGTCAGGAGTTGGAGACCAGCCTGGCCAACATGGAGAAACCCCATCTCTACTAAAAATACAAAATTAGCTGGGCATGGTGGCTCGCGCCTGTAATCCCAGCACTTTGAGTGGCCGAGGCAGGCATATCACCTAAGATCAGGAGTTCGAGACCAGCCTGGCCAACATGGCAAAACGCTGTCTCTATTAAAAATACAAAAAAAAAAAAAAAAAGGCCATGTGTGGTGGTGGGCACCTGTAATCCCAGCTACTTGGGAGGCTGAGGCAGGAGAATCGCTTGAACCCGGGAGGTGGAGTTTGCAGTGAGCTGAGAGCGTGCCGCTGCACTCCAGCCTGGGTGACAGAGCAAGACTCTGACTCAAAAAAAAAAAAAAAAGAATAAATATAGATAGATGATACATAGATAGATAGATAGATAGATAGATAGATAGATAGATAGATAGTAAGGTGGAGTTAAGAGTTTGCACCTGGCTGACTAACCTCCTCTCTACTACCTCTCCTCTCAGTTCTTTTTTTGTTTTGGGGGTTTTTTTGGAGACAGAGTCTTGCTCTGTCACCCAGGCTGGAGTGCAGTGGTGCGATCTCGGCTCACTGCAGCCTCTGCCTCCTGGGCGCCAGCGATTTCCCTGCCTCAGCTGCCCGAGTAGCTGGGATTACAGGCATGCACCACCATGCCCGGCTAATTTTTTGTATTTTTAGGAGAGACGGGGTTTCACCATGTTGCCCAGGCTGGTCTGGAACTCCTGAGCTTCAGAAAATCTGCCCGCCATGGCCTCCCAAAGTGCTGGGATTACAGGCGGGAGCCACCGCGCCCCGCCTCCACTCAGTTCTTGGCAGCTGCTTTGTGCCTTTCTGCTGCCAGATTGAGGTAAGGCCTGAACAAGGTGATATTAGCAAAGTGCCTGCCACACTTTAGGCAAAACTATAGCAAAACTCTGACAGTGAGTTCAGGCTGGGCCTGTGAGATGCTAGGACAGGCGTTCCCCTGGGAATAAAGGACACACTGTCTCACCGCAGCTCCCAGAACCCTCCACCCTGTATGGCCCCAGAAGGTATACTCACCTGCATGTCATGAGGTGTCCTTGGACAGAAGTGGTGGACATGAAATAAGGCAAAAAGAGCCTTAGGCCTGGCGTTACTTGGGAGTTAGGGCCACTTACCTATGCTGAGACTCAGTCTCCTTAAATAAAAAACAGGGCAAACACCATCTGCCCTGGAGCCGGAGTGAAGGGACCCGCCAGCTGACCACAGGCCGTCCCGCTGTCTCACCCACACTCTGCTGAGGTTCAGCACCAGTGATAGCCATCTCAAGGGCTAGACAGATGTAGATGAAACAGCCATTTGCAAACTTCCACCCGACTCAGGATGGAAGTTTGAAATTCCTCTTTCAGGGTAGGCTGCTTCTTAGCTTTGAGAAAAATATAGTAGAGGCCCTTTGGTGATTGATGCTGAAGCAAGAGCCCGTCCTAGAATGGAAGAGAGGCCTGGGGAGCCACCTGGCCCTCCCTGACAACGGAAAGGTGCTTGTCCCAGCACGGTGGCTGGAGATGAAAGGGAAGGGGTACCTGGCTTTTTCTTCTGTGGGCCCTGGGCCCTGGGCGGGCTGGACTCGTGCCACTCCACGTGCCACTGGCTCACACCTTGGGCTGAGCCAATGAAACCTGCCGAGGGGCTTAGTCTGTGGGCCTCGCGGGGGTACAGTTTAAAGGTTTCACTGTGTGTTCTCAGCTTTCTGTGCTTTTAGTCTTTTTTTTCGAGACAGTCTCACTCTGTTGCCCAGGCTGGAGTGCAATGGCTTGATCTTGGCTCACTGCAGCCTCTCCCTCCCAGGTTCAAGCAATTCTCCTGCCTCAGCAGCCAAGTAGCTGGGATTATAGGCATATAGGCAGGTACCACCACATCCGGTTTTTTTTTTTTTTTTTTTGATATATTTTTAAGTAGAGACGGGGTTTTGCCATGTTGGACAGGCTGGTCTCAAATTTCTGCCCTCAAGTGATCTGCCCGCCTCAGCCTCCCAAAGTCCTAAGATTATAAGCATGAGCCATCGTACCCGGCCTCAGTTAAGTCTTAACTGAGTATGATCCTAGCTGTGCTGTGAAGTGCTAAGGGGTGAGGCCCCTCATAAGGGCAGCATCAGCTGCTAGAGAAAGCTGATTGTGGGCCCCCAAGAGGTGAAAGGAAAGAATGGAGCATTGCCTGGTGTTCCATAACATACTTGGGGAGGGCAGCCTGGTCAAAGAGGGCACTTCTGCCTTCAACTGGCAAGGCCTGCACCTCTAGCTGTAGGGGCATAAAGGGAGGTGTGAGGCCTGAAGTGTCACCCACTGTCCCTTAGAGGCCCTCCTGGGCCACTCCGGAAAGTAGGAACACAAGAACACAACATGCCACCGAGCTCTCAAAACTCAGTTTTATTGACTTCCAGCATTTCCCCCTGGATCTGAGCTCAGCCCAGCTGGTTTTGGTTCGTCTCTGAGGCTCAGTGTTAACGGCGGCTAGCTCCACCACTCCCCTCCCTGGCCACCGGGATCCCCAGGCAGGGAGGAGGAGAGGCGGCTCATCTGTGATGTTGGAAAGAATGGGCAGCAGGGTCAGAGGCCAAAGAAAGCCATACAAGCAGCAGCATGCCTGGAGCTGCCATCACATGCCAAGCCCTGCCACACACACGCCCCTGCGGGTGGCCTTGCCCTCAAAGCTCTCTGCCACCCACACTCCTCAGCTTTCTGGGGCCACACTCTGCTCAGGCGGACATGCTACTCGCCCTGGCTTGTTCCTGGGACCCCAGGCTGCCCATGGGAAAGGAACCTCTCCCAGGTGCTGCACGGCTCTGCCCTGCCCACTCTAACCCTGGGGCTAGCAAGATGTGTCAGGGGAACCAATGCTCAGATCATTCCTCCTTCATCTACAACCCTGCCAGCCCTCCAGGGATAAATCAAAAGACAAAATCTCCCCATCTCACAGCGAGTGACAAGCCGACCTGGGCAACTACATGTCCCAAGATGCACAGCTCAGTAACCACGCACCACCTCCCCCAAGCGGGATCTATCAGAAATGAGGCCGGGCGCACCGCACTCTGGGATTTGTAGTTCCCAGGAGCCAGCACGAAACACCCAAGGAAGAGAGTGCACAGGCTAAGACTACTGCCGCCTCCCACCCGGCCCCCACCCACTACCCAGGCCCCAGCTCTACACTCAGCATGGGTGAGGGGGAGAAATGGAGGGTCCCCTCCCAGCACATGGGGGAGGGCGCTGTCCTGTTGGAACTGTGCAGCGATTCTGGAACCGGCATCCAGCTCAGAACACATCTGGGGAGAGAGCGGGGGCGGGGTGACAGGAGAGAGCATCAGCGGCAAGCTGTGGAGGACGGGGCTCAGCATGCAGACCTGGGCTGGCCGCATGGCCTCTCCCTGAGCCCTGATGTATGGTAGGGAAGCAGTATGGGTGCAGTTCCCACCTAGGCCTCCCTCCTGGTTCCCCCTGGTCCTATCCCACCTCTTCAGAGTCAGTCAGCCTCACCTCTGCCTAGTCCTGAGGGTTAGGGCAGGCTGAGGCAACGGGAAGAAGGGAGGAGGAGTGGGCTCCAGTTCTGAATCCGGACAGCTGAGAGGCTCCCGCCCCACCCAGCTAGCCTCCCCAGAAGACCTCACAGCCCTACCGGCCCCAGCATCTTCCTCGCCACATTGAGGCCTTCTCGGGGAAGGAAGGAAGAAGGGAGTCCTAGCCAGACGGCAGTGAAAGCAAGCGATGCGGCCCGCAGGGAGTTGCAGAGAGAATGGGAGGGAGGAGAAGCAACACCAGAAGAGAAGCAACAGAGACAGTCAGAGCACAACATGGCACAGAAACCAGGGTTGGGGGTCTGCAGCTGGACCAGGAGAGCAGGAGGCTCCACTCCGCCTGCGCTGCTCCCCAGTGGAGCTGCCGGCTCCGGCTCAGACAACCCTAGGCCAAGTCCTCCTTCCTTGACACCATCAGCAACACAGGTGGCAGAGGACCTGGGCACAAAAGGCCCAGCCCAAACCACTAATTCCCCTTGGAGCTCCCCATCCAATAAATGCAACCTGGCTCCTCGGGCCCTTCCACTGTCCTGACACCCCCCACCCTGGGTTTCACCAGGGACCTATCAGTCCTGGGCTGAGCACAGCAAATCCCAAGTCCACAGTGGGGTGCGGGGGGCCTGGGAGGGAAACTCGTGGAGGGAGCATGGAGTTGCAAAGCAGTTCCTACAACTCAGGATACTCCCCTCTGCTCTTCCCACAGTGAGCCAGACCCCCAGTCAAGACCTGGATCAGGTCAGGTTGGGCCTGGTGGTCAGAGGATGAGGCAACGAGAGGCCTTCTCCTCTGGGGATGGGCTGCGTTTGGTTGCTTCACCCCTCGCACCCTCCTGGGTCCCTCCCAAGCCTGGATCTTGGTGCTGGGCCTTCGGCCGCCCCTGCCGTCGGTGCTGTGCCTCCCGCCCACCTGCGGGTTTCTTCCCAGCTGCCTCCATCTCTGACAGGCTGTAGGCCATGGCCAGCTGCAGGTCCTCATCCTCAGAGAGGTCGCTGTCCAAGGGACATGAGGCAGGGGTCTGCTGGACCTGAGTGCCCCCAGACCTGGAAGTGACTGACGGCTGCTGCTCGCGACGGCTAAGCTCCAAGCCCAGTGCCAGGTCATCTGGGACACCTGCAAGAGTCACAGCCACCATGAGGCCCCAACCTGAGCCGGGGTATTACTGCCAGGTTGCCTCACACAGTAACGACCTTGACCACTTAAGAGTCTCTCATTTGGAATTGACACACATGCATTTTGGCACCTAGGGTTGTGATTTTGAGCACAGGGAAGTATTCAGCTCTACCAGGTAGGAGCTCCTACCCTTGGGCAAGTCACTCAACATCCCTACCCCTCCCTTTTCTCATCTAGAAAGTGGGAATGATGGCCGGGCACAGTGGCTCATGCCTGTAATCCCAACACTTTGGGAGGCTGAGGTAGAAGGATCACTTGAGCCCAAAAGTTCGAGACGAGCCTGGGCAACATAGTGAGACCCCAACTCTACAAAATATTTAAAAATTAGCTGGGCATGGTAACACACGCCTGTAGTCCCAGCTACACGAGGGGCTGAAGTGGGAGGACTGCTTGAGCTGAGGAGGTCGAGGCTGTAGTGAGCCATAATCGTGCTGGGCTGGGCACCAAAGCAAGACCTTGTCTCAAAAAAATAGAAAAAAAGAAAAAAAGAAAAAGAAAATGGAAAGATAGTGCCTTCATACTCAAATTGTTCCACTGATTAAATACGTCAGCCCATGTAAAGGGCTTGGTGCACAGTGCTCGGAGTCAGCAGGCAGGAAAGGTGAGCTATGGTGACGGTCCTGCACAGCAAGGTGTTGCAGAGACAGTTCTGCTCTGGGAATCATGCGTCCCGAGTTTGACTCCTGGCCCTTCCCCTTACTTGGAAGAAAAGAGTCTTGAGCCTGGGCTACTTGGAAGTTAGGGTCATTTAACTATGCTGCAGCTCAGGCTCCCCAAACTAAAACTGAGTGGATACCATCTGCCCTGTGTACTCCCCCAGATGCTTGAAGAATACAGAGGATATCGTATATCTGGAAGTGCTTTAAAAATAGTAAAGTGCTTTGCAAATGTAAGGCACCCCACTCACAGTGACGGCGATGGCTTCGTGAGACTCCTCCGCCCCCTTCCCAGCATTGCCATCTCTGATCCTACCAGTCTGGCCTGTTGCCACTCCCTCCCAAGCCCCAAGCGAGTTCTGAGAGCAGCAGTTTGGGGAGGAGGCTGCTGAGGTTGGGGCTGGGGCTTCCTGCCAGGGGCTGGGTGGTGGAGCCACTCCTCACCATTGATTGTGACTGACTTCAGCTGCCCATCCTCCTCCACTTCCACCCGCTCCTGCCCGTTCTCCATGATTCTGTGAGAGATAGCACAGTTCAGGCAACGGAGCAGTGATGGACTCCTGCAGGTGCTGGTCACAGTTCTGGCCACCGCAGTAGAGAGTGCAGACTGGGCCCTGCCCTCAAGGAGCCAATTTTCTATTTGAATACAGCTACCCAGCAGACCTCTTACACCTCTATGGCCCCAGAAGGAGCTCTTACCTGCGTGTGGTGATGCGGCGTCCTTGGACAAAGGTGGTGGACGTAGAAACAGAGCGAAAAGCACCAGCCCCGGGACTGAAGGAGAAAGATGAGGAGGAGAAATCTGGCATCGGGACAAGGGAGAAGGAGGAGAGGTGGTTAGAAGAAGACTGCGCTGCCTATCGTGGTCACCGAGGCGCCAGGCCTCCTCGCAGGGCTGCTGGAGGCAGGGCTCCCAACACAGGAGACAGGCTTGGAAAAGCAACAAGCTCAGTCCAAGGGTTCCAGGAATCGGAGCTTGCAAAAGTGGGAAGGGGCAAAACTTACCAGAGTGCCCAGGGAAGGAGGAAGAGAAGGTAAAGAAAGGGCCTGAGTGTCGGGAACCCCGGTTCTGAAGCTCTGAGAAGGGGCCCAGGTCATCTGCAACAAGTAAACAGATTAGCAATCCTCTGGTAATGACGTTTCCCCCCAAAAGTGTGTGAGCCCTGCTGTTAAGTCTGGAAGTATAAATGCTAAGCAACTGGGTAGGGTTTTTCTTTTCCGCTTTTTAGTTGGGCTTATTTATAATTAAATTCCTTTTTAATGTTGAATTCGAAGACGCTCACTAGTTAATTCTGTCCACAATAAAGAATAAAGGAAGGAAGGAGGGGGCAGAGGGATGGAGGACAGATGGCTCTTTCAGTACAGGCAAATCATCATGACGCGATGACAGGCAGACACAGCTAGGAGTCCAGCTCTGCCATGTGCTGTGTGACTCTGAGCTATTGGCTGTGCCTTGGTTTTCTCATCTGCAAATGGAGATAAAATTGCCCACCTCTCAGGGTTCACTAGAGAATTAGGGAATGTAAAATATTTGGCACATATCAATCATTAAAAAATACCAGTATCTGTTTTATAGATAATAATAATAATATTGTTAACAAGATGCTTTGAGTCTTGCTTTCACAGCTCTTACTGTAGAGGTCTAACAGCGTATTATTGTCGTTGTCATTTAATAAAGTGAGTCTGTGAAGTGTCACTGTTGGATCACGGGGGTTCTGGCACATGTATGGTTCTGTCCCAGCTCTCACTGGACCCAGCTCCACAAAATCTTCTGTCCATGGCATTCCCATCCCCTCTCAGCCTTCTACCTCAGGGCCTCCCAAATGATAGAAGGACAGGCCTGGAAGGGGAATTTGAGCCATTCAGAGGCTTCCGGCGTCCACTCACCAAAGAGCTCTGCAAAAGGGTCTCCGCTCCCGAAGAATTCCCGGAAAACCTCCTCGGGGCTTCGGAAGGTGAAGGTGAAGCCAGGCCCACCACTGCCAGCTTCTGCCCGAGATGGGCCAGTTCCTGGAAAGGCAGGATAAGGAGAGAGCTTAGGGCATGCATCCTGCCCTGACCTGGGGACCTCACCTAAGGCATGGCCAGGAGTCTGAGAAAGCCTCCACTGCAAGAATCTGCCCTGCCCCTCTCCTCCCTGCCCCACCTCCATTCCTGGACCTCGTCACTCCACCTACCTGTCCCCGTCAGCCCTTCCCGGCCATAGCGGTCGTAAATCTCCCGCTTGTGCTCTGCAAAAAGAGACCAGATGATTCCACCCTCCCTCTGGGATGGCCTCCCCTTCCAGGCTAGGACGCTCAAAGGATTGTCCAGAGACTGACACTCTGACACTTGGCGGGGGAAGGCAGGCACAGCAGGGGACCCATGGCACCCCTGCCATAGGTTTAGGCAGCAACTCAGCCTTTCACACAGCCGACCTCTTCTCATCTGGAAAATGGCTGTCATCACAGCACTTAACGCGCAGGGTTGTAGCAAAGATCACATGAGACCATCCACGTAAACTGCCTACCAGTGCCTGACACATAGGAAGTGTTCAATAAATGTTAGCTAATGATTACTACATTATTATTCACCGGGGCTTAGCCTAAATGTCACCTCCTAAGAGAGGCCTTCTACAACCACCAGAACAAAAGCAGGTGCACGTTATTCCCTAACACTCCACCTGCCCCGTTTCTTCCCTCTAGAATACTCTTCACAAGTTGTAACTGTCTGTGTGTGTGCCTGGTGAGTGTTGGTCTTCCCTGCCCCTCTGGGCAAGGACAGTGCCTGCTTGTCCTCCAGTTTCCCCAGAACCCAGAGAGTGCCGGACACTGTCAGCATTCAGTGAATTACATTTTGAATGAATCAATAAAAAGGCCGACCTGGATTCATATTCCAGCTCTGCATGGCCTTGAGCAAGTTACTTCACCTCTCTCAGCCTCAGTTTCCTTGCCTGTAATATGGGGGTGATAGAACCTGCCTCATAGGACGGCTGTGAGAACTCATGGAGATGACACCCACCAATGCCTGGCATGCAGGAGGCTCAGCTCACATGAGTTACCTGCCCTGCTTCCTTCTCCTTGCAGGTCTCATGCCAGTCACTCCTACCAGACTCTGGGGAGCAGATACTGAGCTGTCCCTGTGGGAGGGGGAGCTTAAATGTCAGGCACAGAGGAAACTAGGGTGGCAGAGACATTGCTTTAAGAAAATGTGAGCTGGGGCATGAAGTAGGGAGTGATGTGCTGGGTCCTGCCTGATTCGGGCCCTTACTGTCAGACAGCACTTCATATGCCTCCGCCACCTCCTTAAATTTCTTCTCAGCAAATTCTTTATTATCTGGGTTTTTGTCTGGGTGCCACTGGAGAGCCTTGCGCCGATACCTGCAGAAAGTGGGTGCAGAGGAGCGGGTTGGGGGACAAATGCAGGCACTTCCCACCCGGAACAGAACGACCCGTTTTCCCATTAGCCCATCACTGTCCTTTCACCGCCGTGTCCCAGTCCACCCCAGCTGCTAGGGCTGCCTCTGCTGTGATGTTTTCATCAAGTTCCACCCTCTCTCATCTGCCACCAGTGCTGGGACCACGTGTACAAGCGGATACAATGCCAAGGTGAGAAGGCCTATCCCTAGCCCCTCCCTAGGGCTCGCTGGAATTGGGCTGCAAAGCTTGGGGCACATGTGGCCTCGAAGAGTACAGGGACACCGGCCCCTCCTCCTCACAGAGCCTCGGCATCTTTGCACTGCAGCCTGAGAATGCCCAAATCTAGAGGGAAGAGGGAACCGGGAAGGGGGAGGGGAGGGGAAGGGAGGGGAAGGGAGGGGAGGGGAGGGGAGAGAAGGAGAAGGAGGGGAAGATCCACTGGAGAACAACTCGTAACACAGTGCAGCTCCCAGCGGAACAAACTACTTCACTCTCTGGACGTTCTGCTTGTACTCTACCAGGGGTCTCTTTCCTCCCTGCAGGTGTCACTCGGAGGAAGCCCCCCACCCCAGGGCTTTCTAAGGACCTGGTTCCCTCAGACACCTACAGGTGTCACTCTGAAGTGCCCCATGGTGGTGGCGGGTGGAGGGTGAGAGGTTTTCTGTTGCACACGGAGGCACTTACGCCTTCTTGATGTCATCAGCAGACGCACTTCGCGGCACGTCTAGGATCTCGTAGTAGGATGCCATGGCAACTGGTCAATCGTCAAGCGGGCCTCCTTGGGGCTGCAGGAGAGAAGGAGTCAGGCGGAAAAAACCAAGAGCCCCTCCCTGTGGCTGCAGCAGTCTCCCCCCGGGTGGCGGGAGGCGCTCCCAGTTGGAAGTGGAGCCCACCAGGCTCTGCTTGCGGCCGGTGACTAGGCTCCCTCCCGCAGCCTTATCTGCCCCCGAAGGCCGGGGCCAAGAGCTATCTTGACGCCCAGGCCCAGGAGCCCTATCGGGGCCCCCCAACTCCAGCAGTCCGACCCAGGGCCCCCAGCCTGACCCGGGCCCCCGGCTGCACCTCCTCCGCCGGGAGTCCCGGCCTCTTGCGGCGCCCCGCCCCTGCCCCCCGCCGGGAACCGTCTGGCACCCGCAGCCCGGCTCGCGGCTGCTGCGTAGGACGCGCCCGGCCCAGCTGTGCGCGCAGGCATGCGTCAGCGGCGCGGAAACTACTAGAGACCGGGAGAAGGCCCGCTCCGCCAGTCCCCTGGCGGGGGTGGGGGCCTGCAGGGGCTGCCGGGAGAAGAGGGCGGAGCCAGCTATTTTGGGCACGCACCAGGACGACGTCAGCCCCAGCTGGGACCTGGGAGACTGCTGCCCCGCCTCCATCCAGGCAAGACTTGCTCGCACGGAAGCTGGGGCAGCCCACAAACAAGCCGCCCGGCCCCCAGGTCCCTCTGTCACTTTCTTATAAACATCAGCGATGATCCATGCTTACTCACCCACCTCGAGGACTCGTACTCCTCCCTCCCTCCCCCGACCACAATTCTAACTCCTCCCCCTTCTTCAGCTCCCAGCTCCAGCCCCAGGTCCCCCAGCAGGCTGCCCTCGCTTTCCTGAGTAGGTCAGAACTGCCTTTTACAGCATCTCGTGGCATTTCCTTCATCAGTCTTCTTAGAGCCACAAATTAGCATTTATTGGTTTGATTATTTTTTATTACCATTCACCTCACCCACTAGAATGTCGATTTCACAGGGCAGGAATTGTGTGTTTTTTCTCACTGGTCTATTAGAGCAGCTGTCGGGGTTCAAAACTACCCGTAGGATGAATAAATAATGAACATCTGCAAACCTCTTGTTGACAGTTCGGACACATTTGGGGGAGGTGAGGTAAAGGGGACAGTAGAACGGAATTCCCCAGGTTCAAGTCTTCCCAAACTGATCCTGACTAGGCCTATTCCACTGCAAAATGCTCCCTGGGTTCAGGCCTCATGGGAGGGTTAGGAAACCTTCCAGAATTGTCTCCTGCTTGATCCCATCCAGGCCAATCCACAGGCGTTAGCTGAGCATTTTTCTGCATTCAAGATGCTGCCAGACCGTATAAAGAAGAATGTGGCCCAAGTCCTGCCTTTGCAGAGCTTGAACTTGATAACATACCAGCCCATCAGTGTGGCCCGCTGGGAAACCCAAGGCTTTGGAAACAGTACAACCTGGCATTACTGTGAGACTTGGGAAAATCTCTGAGCACTCTTTTTTTCTCACTAAATATAGGTAGTGCCTAGGGTTGTTTGAAAGTCAAATGACACATGGTACATATTAGGTGTTACTGCGGTCCTCGCTGGCATCGTGATTGGCTCAAGCAATAATGGTTACGTGAGTCCAGAAAAGTGCTTTAGGCTGGGGGACCCAGAAACACTTCGCCAACGAGAAGGGCTTGAGCCGGACGTAAGAGAAGAAGGTGGTGTGAGTGTCCTGTTTTCCTGGCCGCCCACCATCAGAACCTCCTGCCTACATTTGGGGAATTCCCATCGCACGGGCCCTAATGGGAAGCATGCCACCATTTGCCACAAAGCCCCAATGCTTGCTCTCCCTGACTCGGCTCTAGGGTTGCAGGCAGAAGACATGAGCTCCGCCAATCGGATGCTCCAACTGGGACTTTGAATCTGGAGCAAGTCACGGAGAAGCAGGGCTGGTTGAGGAATTCATTTCTGCGGCAGTGGTGGAGGCGATGGGGCCAACAGCGGCCTCTAGTGTCTGGAGGAGGAAATGTCAGTGCTAGTGCCGCAGGTGAGGGAGGAGAGCAGGGGGATCACTGCGGAGGGTGGAGGGGACAGGAGCCTCCTACATAGGCTGTCCTGTGCCCAACCTTGAGTGTGGTGCTGGCTGCCCAGCTTCCCTGGGTGCCTGTCTGATTGCTGACCCTTGTTTGCTGGCCCTTGCATTGATTCCAGTGCCATCCGGTATCTCTGTAATTGTTGGGGGCAGCGAACTTGAAACAATTTGCCAGTTAGCTTCTGCTGTTTACAAGAGTCCTGACTGACACAAAGACTAAGAGTTAGCCTTGGTATAAGAGGAAAGAGTGGTTGGGTTAAGTCACTCCAGATTTTCCAGATCTCTGCCTTTTTCTTCTTACTCTGCCGTCCCAACAGACATTTGTCTAGCACCTACCGTGTATGTCTTGTTATATTAAGAATAAGAATATAGCAGGGCGCGGTGGCTCACGCCTGTAATCCCAGCACTTTGCGAGGCCGAGGTGGGTGGATCACCTGAGGTCGGGAATTCAAGACCAGCCTGACCAACATGGAGAAACCCTGTCTCTACTAAAAATACAAAATTAACCAGGGTGGTGGTGCATGCCTGTAATCCCAGCTACTCGGGAGGCTGAGGCAGGAGAATCACTTGAACCCGGGAGGCAGAGGTTGCGGTGAGTCAAGATCGTGCCATTGCACTCCAGCCTGGGCAACAAGAGAGAAACTCTGTCTCAAAATAAATAAATAAATAAAATAAGAATATAAAGAAGCTTAAATTCCAGTCTCTGTGCTCAAGGGGATAGGACATAGACAAATGACAACCGAGGGAAATTATATGGAACACATCTAGCAGACAAAGGTTTTTTTTTTTTTTTTTTTTTTTTTTAGGTGGAGTCTCGCTCTGTCGCCCAGGCTGGAGTGCAGTGGCACAATCTCGGCTCACTGCAAGCTCCGCTCCGCCTCCCGGG